TCCAACCTGACCTTGAAGTAGAAGGGTTGAGGGGCTTGGGAGCCTAAGATGTGGGAGCCGAGGACTGGCCAGCATGGCCAACTACCTGTCCATACTCTTCCTTGGGAGGTGCCCCTGGAAGCTTCTCCTTCCTCCTGACACAGCCTGAGAGAGCACATTCCAGAATGAGGGCACGGCCAAGAATAGGACCCAGGAGCCCTGCCACCATCCTGCCTGCATTACTCACACACTCCCTAGAGAGGAGGAGAAGAGAGCCTTGGAGAAGGTGAGATCAGAATAGGAGGGTGTAGAGGAGTGGGACTGAGAAGAAGCAAAGACCCCATCGGGCCCCTTCTTGGCCATGGTGGTTACAAAATGCAGTGGCTCCACATGGCCCTCCTCCCAGATCCTGTGTTCAACTAACAACACCCTCCCCACCCCCTGCCTTGTGAGCTCTGAGCAGGGCTACAGTGTTCCTGGAGCCCCGGGCTGTTACTCTGATTTGGGTCAGCACCAGCCTAGAGGGAGGCCACGCTTGGAGAAGAGGCTAAGGCAGCCTAGAGACAGCATAGGCTTCCCCCAAGGAGCTGCCTGCTGAAGGATGAGGAAGTATAAGGCTAATGTCTGGCTGGGAAATCTAGGCCATGACTGCAGTTGTGTGATGGAGGCTCACTCATCGCGTGCCCAGGATGTAAACAGCTCTGGGGTGATGCGCCTGGGAATGGCTTGAGCCACGGTCTGTGCAGGCATCTGGGTTCAAGATTGGACTCCTCACTGCTCATCCAGGCAGAGCAGGGCACATGTTTGCATGCCTCTGTGTGTGTGTGTGTGTGTGTGTGTGTGTGTGTGTGTGTGTGTGTATTTCAGCATAACACAAGCATTCAGAGTTCTCAGTAGCAACACATAACTATTGGCTTTGCCATTTGGCGGCTGAGTGATCCTGAGAAAGTTTCTTGTGTGTGTACATGTGTGTGTATGTAGGTATGCTTGCCAGTGCCTGCACACCTGGAAGTCAGAGGTTGGTGCCAGATGTCCCTCCTCTGTCATTCCCCACCTTATTTTATTGTTATTTAGTTATGTAGTTAATTTTACATATTTATTTATTGTGTGTATATGGGGTGAGCACTGCCACAGTGTGTGTGTGTGTGTGTGTGTGTACACAATTTGTGGGAATAGCTTCTTTCTACCATGTGATACCGAAGGATGGAACTCAGGGGTGGCAGCAAATCCTTTTCCTCACTGAACAATCTCTCTCCCTCCATAATTTTGGAACAGATTTCTAACTGAATTTGGCACTCACAGTCAGCTAGCTTGGCTGGCTGGGCAAGCCTCTAGAATCCTGAATTCACCTCCCCCAGCTTTTTACATAGACTCTAGGGATTCAAACTCGGGTCTTCATGCTTGTACTGAGCCATTTCCTTAGACCTTTATTTTTGGAGATGGAACCTTGCTATGAAGCCAAGTCTGTCCCTGAACCTGAAATCTCCTTCCTCCAGCTCCCAAGTGCTGAAATTGTAGTCCCGTGCTGGCACATGGCTAGATAAATCTGTCGTTACTCTTGACTTATTTTCCCATCTACAAAACTGCATTGTGCCTCATGCATCTCAGTGTAGACTGCAGGGCAAGGTGCTTGGTGCTGCCTCGAAGTGAACTCTCTTGGTCCGATGTTATCATCATGGGGCTATTGGAGATCACAGCCGAAAGACACAGCCACGAGGCTATGTGTTACTACTGTCCCCTTTCCCTAGTTGGTTTTTTTGTCCTAGCACTTGAGTGGCTTTCTGGTGCCACTGTCCAGAGGGTGACATCAGACTAGGGAGCAGCTGGCCAGACAATGGAGCAGAGTGTCCCAGGAGGCTGGAGACCAGGAAGAGGGAGGGAGGACGGTAAACAAAGCCACAGTGCCTTGCTAAGGGACGATGGGGACAGTTCTGGTCTAGTGTCAGCCAAGCCTGAATAGATTATAAGGGAAGAAAAGCCTGGGGAGCAGGCTAGTGGTAAGGAGAGCCTTACGGTGAGGAGTGAGCTCTATCGCAAGCAGGAAAACATGACTGGCCTTGCTGTAGGTGTCCCTGCATTCCTTATGTCCTGGAGCAGGGCTGAGGCCATGTCTCCCAGACTGAGCCAGGTAACCCTGCCCTGGAAACTCAGGTCAGCCTGAGAACCTGCTCCCTGCTGGCCATTGCATAAGGCCAGGCCAGCAAAGACAAGGCAGCATTTCCAGAGCAAAATCTATCCCACATAGCAGGTCAGAAATTGCCATAGTTTCTCAGTCTCCCATCCCATCAGCATTCATAGCCTCTGAGCCCCAATTCAGCCCACGTGAGGGGCTCATTTCAGATGTCCTCTGTGAGAAACAGGAGCCGGCCAAGGCCCAAGAGCCAGAATGATGAGGGGAGGTATTAGGTCTTGCGGCCCATCCCTTGGTCAGGAAGCTTTACCGGGTGAAAGGGCCACTCTGTGCCAGGCTGCAGTCTTACAAAAGGTAATTTGTTGAATCTCAAGTCTCCCAAGTCCCAATGACTAGCCAGGCATTACAGCTGGGCATGCCTGTGATCTTAGCACTTAAGAGATGAGACAGGAGAATCATGAGTTTGAGACCAATCTGGACTACAGAGCCATCTGAGGTGAGTTTGGGCCATACTGAGAAACTGTCTAAAACAAAACCAAACAAATCCAGGGCAGAGGAGATGGTTCAGTGCTAACACTTTTGCCTCATAAGTGTGAGCGCCCGAGTTTGCATCTCCTGGACTCCCAGAGAGCCAGCAACAGTGTTTTCCCTAAGCGTTCTCATTGGTCTCTTGTGTGACTAGGCATGAGGAGATCCAGAGGGAGCATGTTGGTGGAACAGGCTGGATTCAGATCTTGGTGAATCTGGTCTTGTGGGCTAGGTGGTTTCTGCACCATCGGCCTGGCACTGTGGGTCCATCCCCTGAACTTCCCTCTCTACCAGGATGATAGACTTGCAATCTGGGCCTAACAGTGAGGTTTAGACTTCTGCTTGTGAACTAGAGTGGCAGGTAACAGGTGTGACTGGTGACTGGGCACCTGCCCCTTGGGCTCTGAGGCTCTTTGTTGGACACTGTGGCCTAGAAGCAGGTTTAGCTGATGTCCTCAGGCCCCTAAGGACAGAGTAGGGTCATAGTCCTCGCCATCCCTGGACATCTGACCAGGTTGGGAAATGACCATGACTCATGCCATCCTGATGGCTAAGCTTCCTGCTCAGTGTCCTTCAGAGATAGTGTGGAGTCCCACCCCCCTCCCCACCCCTGTCCTTTCTTTTCTTAGGAAACAGAACCTTCTTTTCCCCTCTTCGAGCCTTTACAATAGATGAAAATGGCTGTTCTAGCCTGGGCTGCACCTGGCCTGGAGTCTTCTTTTTGGAGGTGGCCCTGGGAACCCCAGGGAACTGCAAGAAAGGGGTGCCTCTTTTGAAGGTTCGAAGGTTGTGGGTTCCAGGCCCTTGACGGGTCTGAGGAACAGCACTAAGTCTCCAAACGTATCAGCATTGTCCAAACTCAGCAGGCTCCCTGTGGACAACGGAGAGCAGGCCTCAGCCTGGAGTCGAGAAGTCACAGCAGAGCAGCAGCCTCCCCTACTCTGTCTCTCCCACTTCTCACTTAGACCCCACAGTATCAGAGGTGGGATCTGTCTATGGCCCTGACCCCCCACTCTCCCCCACAGAGCACTTAGGCCACACTTCGGGGTCCTAGGCCTCTCAGCTTCTGACTATGGACAAGCCACTCTGCCTTGTTGGTTCTGTTTTCTTCTGTTTATTTCGTAGAACTGTGTTGATCACAGTTAAGGAGCCTCATATCTAACAGGGAACATGAAAGTCTGGTGGGTCCCTCCACTGACCAAATGTGGTCCCATTGACCAGACGAACCTCCCAAGAGGCCACTAGAACCAACAATGTGATTACAGACCCTTCCTCACCTTCCCAAAAGAGCCGCACAGGTAGAACAGTAGTCACTATGGATTTTTATTTAGTATGGTCCTCCTTATATTTGAGGAAGACATTAGGGCATCCCACAATGCCTCCTTTGGATGGATGTGGACAGAATGAGGGGCTAAAGAGGGAACAGGACAGATGCAGAGATGACAGAGGGGTTCCACATCCTCTGCCCAGTGCCTATGTGGCTGAGACCAGAAGAAACAAGTGATCTCAGAGCTGCCATCTCCATAAGGCCCCTCCCAGGCCCCACCTAGATAGTTCCTCCTTCCTGGTCCCTGCAGACACCCATGATCACCACCAGATGGCAGCATTGAGCAATATTCCTTTTCCCTGGACCCGCCTCTGCTCTGATTCCCCCCCCCCCGCCCCCGCCCCTCCTGCCTTTTGTCTTCCTTATTTCTCTTGCTACCAAAACAGACCCTGGGGCTTCTCCAAGGAAGTCCAAGGCATAAGAAAGCACACCGTCCATCAGATGGAAGTGGCTGACTGCCCCAATCACCCACTGGTTCCTGGGGGAGCCTAGGATTAGGACTTTGTGTTTCTGCTCTACTGGCAGAGCCACTCTCTCTATGGTCCTAGCACTGGGAAGTGTCCACTGCGCTGAAATGAACAGAAACAAACCAATGCAGCTAAGGAGAGAAAACATGGATTTTGCTGGTGTGGTAGCCTCAGGGACACAAACTGACCCCATGAAGGCAGCCGTCCCTGCAGCCTCCATTAGGATAGGTTATATCCTGGGCTGGACAGTGTTCCGGTTTCCCATTGCTCACAACCCTTAATGTGAGGCAGTCTCTGTTTACAGTGATGCAGGAGGCAATGGGGAAGTTGTCTTAAGCAATCCTTGGACTCTCTTATCTCTCCCCCACATATCCCCTGTGCAAGCTAAACCATTTAACAGTGTAGATGTCACCTCCTGGCTAGGAGACTGGGCAGAGGGACATGAATCAGCAAAGGGGATGAGAGTACCTGGGGGGACCACTCATGGGAAATAACTTACGTGTGTCTTTTCTTCTCCTTTTGCCAACCTCCCTCCCAGCTAAAAAAGATATGGGCCTTCTATTGACCCCAAAGACAAGAGATTGTTTTCAGACCTATGGTGACTTTCTTCCCACATGTTAGCTGATGCCTCTCCACTGGCTGAGGCTGCCTAATCTGATCTTGCCCAGTTGGCTGACTGAGGGCAGGGGGGTGGGTGGGTGGAGGAGGGTCAGGGTAGATGGGCCAGCTTCAGCGCAAGCCCAGGAAGTCCTTGAGGACATCGCAGGTTTTCTTGTGCATGACCTCACGAAGCTTCCTGACCCGCCGTGTGCTCGATGCGCCCACGAAACTGTCAGGTCTTAGCATGGCCATGCCACCCTCCACCTCCCCCATGATAATGAGCGGTGTCTCGCCCACTGTCACATTGGGGCAAGGGCAGGCCCAGTCCACCTGAAGCAGAGTGACTTCCAGAGGCTCCCGGCCCAGGAACTTGAGGCCCATCTTCTCATCTTTTAGGACCTCATCCACTGTCACCAGAGCACGGCCTGAGTCAGGCTCCTCAGTCAGCTCAGAGACCCTGCCCAGGATGACAAAGTCACTTCGACAGAAGCTGGTGACAAGTTTCTGCCGTGGCTTGCAGGCTGGACAGTGCTGGTTGCCCCGTGGGAAGGGACATGACTCCTCACAGGCCTCTCGGCTTTCAAAGTTGTTGCCATTGCCCTCACAGCCTCCGTAGATGAAGGACTGGCATAAGCCTGTCTGGCTGTTGTAGGCCCAGCGTGGCACATAGGCTTTGCAGGGCCCCTGCAGGGCAGGCAGGCTGCATGTGGCCAGTGGCTCACTCATACAAGCCAGCATGCAAGCCTCATAGGTCTCAAAGTGGTTGAGATTGCGATGACAGTGGCCAAAGGTAAAAGTGAGGCAATTGTTAGCCTGGGCATCGAAGTGCCAGCGTGTCTGCTCCTCTCCACAGTCCTCACTGTCTGGGGGCTTCAGGCACTCAGTAGCTGGGAAGGCCGTGCCATTGAGATTGCTCTCTGAGGTGACCCTTGCCTGACCTCCCCTGACAACTGACAATGGGAAGTCAGCCCTGAGGACTCCAGCAGCATTCTGGGCTGTACAAGTGTATATGCCAGCATCTTGGGGCTGGGCATTGTAGATGACCAGCTGGGCAATGTTGGTGACCACCACGTTACCACGTACATGGTTGGGCCTCATGACCACATTCTCTCGATCTTCCAGTTGTTTCTCCCAAGTGAGCTCGGGCCGGGGCCGGCCTACCACATCACAGAGGAAACTCACGGTCTCACCCACGGTGACTGACTGATGGACAGGATGGTTGAGCAGGGCCGGGGCTGCCAAGTCCAACCCCAGAGTCTCCGGAGAGGCCGTGGTAGGATGCACGGTGGTCTCGGGCGGTGGCGGGCTAGTGTTGGGCCAGGTAAAATGATAGCGGCAGGTGACCACAGCCAGGGAGATGCCCTTGGAGCAGGCTTCGGCATCCATGTAGCAGCGGTTGTAATAGGTGAGGCCGTCAGAGGCACAGGTGAAGCTGGGCTCCTTCTCACAGCGGTCTTTGCACTTACACACAGGCTGTCCATCCCAGATGTCACACTCAGAGCCCTGCTGTAGGCACATGAAGTGGTCACACGTGGCCTCCTTGGGCATGCCCACAGGGCCCTTCTTCCCTTTCACATCCATGTATCGGGCTGCCACACAGCTCTTGGTCCCACACACATTGGGGCAGCACTTCTCATAGGTCTCACATTCCTGAAAGAGCCAGAGAGAGAGAGAGTTCTGAAGAGAGGAAGCAAGGACAGAGCCCCACGTCTCCCTCGAGAGGCCGAGACATGAGAATTTATACATGTGTATACACAAAGCACTTAATGTAGATAAGAACCCACACAGACCCAGCATCTCCTGTCTGTCAGGCTCCTGCCCATCCTTCAGCTTACGAATCTCTTCCAAGCCCAAGGGGGTACAACCACCATTCCCACCTTATGCTGAATCTAAAGCACAGAGAGGTTAAACAACTTGCCCAAGATCACAGAGCTGGTAGTGTGGGAAGAGACGGGCCACAGACCTCTAAAAGGGGATATGTGCTCACTACTATTTTCAAAATGAGAACATAGAGAGGCAGAGAAACGGCCCTCAAGTCACAGATGAGAGGTGGCAGAAAAGGGCTTCAGACTCTCTTAAGTAGGATCCTGAAATGGAACACCATATGGTTACTCAGATGAAGCATAGGCTTAGAGCATGAGGTTGACTTTTCTCTTTCTCCCACTGTGGGAAGGATGCGTTGGCTAATTTGAAGAGGTCGGATCTTGGACCCATGTTCAAGGCTAGCCACACTTACTCTTCTCCCTGGGAAACCCCCAATACACACTGAACCCAGGATGTCAGAGAACCCTGGTGACCAAGAAAAACAAAACAGTCCCCCTGTGTAGTATGAACAAAGCCTTGCTAGTCAAGTAATCCCCCTCTGACTTCTTGTGGAGTCATGTAAGGCTTTACTTTAATTCTTCAAAATTAGTACACGCCACCAGAGCCGACACAAACACGGATTGCATGTGGCGCTTTGCACAATGTCACACCGTGTGGCGGGCGGCTGGCTGGGCTGCTAATCCTCCACCAGGTAGTGGCTGTGTGAAGTCGTCCCCACCACACTGGCCTCTTGTCCTCCCCACTATGATTCCAGCCTTTTTGACATTCCACATGAGCTAAGAGGGGGAAAATACCCCCCACCCGGCTGTGGGGAGCTGCCGCTTGACTTGCCTACTGTTTCTCCCCCTTTCGGCTTAGAATAAGGACTTTGTTTTGCAGCCCTTGTTTGGCATAGGCTTCTGGGCCACAACCGGGGAAGCTTGGGAACAGAGATGGGTCACATCCAGAGCTGAGCTTCAAGGGAGAAAGATCTTGACAGTGGAGGGCAGACAGGGACAGAGTGACCTGTGAACAGGAAGGCCTGTTCCTTGCTCTGAGGGCTACTCCTTTCCAATGTGGGTAGGCACAGGTCCTAGGACCTCAGGACCTAGAGGTCCAGGAATGGCTAGACACTCAGGATCCAGAATCCTTGGGGACCTGGCAAAGGAACCCTGGAGGGGAGGTTTAGAATACTTTCACTTAAGTACTTACAATGTCCCCATGGGCTGTCCCCATGGACTGCCTGGATCCCTAGCTGTACTAGGACAGCATGCAAAGCCTAGCCAGAGTTTCACTGTCCCTAAGTGCCACCTGACTTCAGGCTAGCCAATATCAGTGAAAAGGATTCTCCAAAGGTGGCCATCTGATGGCATGAGCTCTGTGGATGGGAGAATTGTCATCTTCCCCTGTCCTTTTAACTCAGCACCTATCTTGAGAAGCCTGAGAATGATCCCCAAGGCACATGGGGCAGAAGCCGCTCTCTCCATGGCAGCCCCACGCTTTTCCAGTGTGACCGCTACTTCCAGTAGAACTGGGGCCTCCCATGTTCTTTAATGATGCCTAACCCAACCCCAAAGCCCTGGGAGACTCTGGGCCACCCTCAGATGGCCAAGCAGGAAGCTGACACACCTAGAGCAGGCATGGGTACTGTGGGAAACCTATAGACTTTTCTCCCAGCAGAAGTGGACAAGGATGGCACTTAGAAGACCCCTTCTGGACGCCAGGGAAGAGCCACCTTGAAGTGGCCCTCGCCTACTTCAGGGTCCACGAGGGAGGAGCATATGGGAGCACTGAGGGCCCAACAGGTGGGAACTCAGTTCATTTTCCTCCCAGGACACTTAGAGTATTTGCACAGATTAGCTGCCACTCAAACTGCCCAGCAGCCCAGTTGCTGTGTGGCCAAGTCCAAACCTAGGAAAGGGCCTAGAAACCTGGTAGGCAGGCTTCCAGGCCAACCTGTCCCTCCCTGGCTAAGGCATCACCCCCTGTGAGTATCCATTCTCTCGCCTGCCAGTGGGCCGCTGGACATCTCCCACGCTGTTATCTTATCCCAATGCATGCTATGTGCCGCTGCCGGTGCTGGCCCAGTGCAGCCCTCAGCACACACAAAGAGGAATGCTCCGAGATGGATTTGGATACCACTCCCTCTTCCAGGCCTCGGCAGTACATAGGTAAGCATCAAGCTCTGTTTGTCTCCAGGTGGGCAGGATCTGTGTTCCTTCATGTTCCCGGAGGCACTTCTGAGCTGTCCCCTCCCATAGCTCCCACACCATCACAGGTCCACTCACCTGGTCGGTTTCACACTCTCGCTTGCAGGTGCTCTGGGCATCCACCCAAAGGTTGGGGTTCATGTCGTTGGGGCAGATGCCCGCATGGGAATATCGGATGGGTGGCAGTGTTAGGCCTCGAAGGGGTGCCCCCAGGAGCAGCAGCAACAGCAGCCCCCAGTGAAACCAGAACCGATTACACCCCGGGGCCCACATGGTGCCGTCTGCAGTGGCCAGAGGGCTTCCCTGTGCTGACACCAAGGGCTGAGGCCCACCAGGGCCCTTCTTCTCCAGGGCTGGCAACACCTGCCCTCTTCACCCCAGCAAGTCTCCTTGCAGAGGCTGCTGGCTGGCTTCGGCTGCTGTGACTGCCTCCACCAAGTGCAGCCTGCTGGGCTGTGAGACTTCACATAAAAGAAAGGTCTTTGGAAGGAAACTCCTTCCCCCCGCCCCAACTCCGGGGTGCGCAGGGAGAGGAACACAGCAGGGGCTCGAGCCTGGATTTATATCCTGGGCGCAGTACCCGAGTGGGAGCGAGCTAACCTGATGTCGGTCAGAGGCAGGCTGCTGGCGCCTCTGTCCCGTGGCTGATCACAGACGTATTGCAGAAGGGGGGAAAAGCTGGAAGCAGTTTAGGCAGCGGTCTCTGGCACGGTGGGACACCTGCTTGTTCTTGACTCCAGGAGGCCTTTAACCCCTTCCAGGGACAGAAATGGCATGTGCTTTGGGGGGAGCTGGCCCCAGGACACGCACGCTCACTGTGAGGCAGGTTTGTTTCCCTTTCCCCACCTCCTTAGGGCCAGGCCCCCTCCTCCCCTCAGCCACCTCTAAAGAACACACAATCGCTTGTTACAAGGAGGGACCTGAGCCGCTGTGTTAGCGTCGCCGCGGCTCGATAGTACATCTGAGAGCAAATGACGTGGAAAAACAAGTTCACGGCCATTCAAGGGCGGGCCCAAGCAGCCAGCGCTGTGCTGTGTAAGCCGACTCCCACCCCGGGCACCAGGTCCCCTTGTGGGGGGTATGCACTCAGGCAACACCGCATCCCTGTGTTACGGGTTACCGGCAGTCCACGTCTAAAGTTCCAACTTTGGTGAATTCCCCCAAAATTATTCCAGAGAGACATACCAGATATGGTCTGGCTCCCCCGGGCTGCTGGGACGGATCACATTGCTCACTCCTCTCTCTATACACACTTGGAGTCCAAGAAACCCGTGCAGCAGCAGAGTCCCAGGACTTCACCACCACCCAGCTAGCTGCCTGCACCGGTAGCCACAGTGGCCCTTACTTGGTAAGCCCTTGGGTGCCAGGCACTATGGAGCCTTCACCACACAGAGTGAAAGGCTTCTGGGTGGAATTTGTTCAGGGTCTTCGGAAGTATCAGTTATACCAATTCCTCCTTCTACCGTCCAGACCCCATACTGCATTATTTTATTTAATCCTTGCTGCAAACTGTACGTTCAGTTTGGACTTAAGCAAAGGATGGGAGCACAGTGAAGCTGAGCAACTCACCCTGGGTCACACAGCTCCATTAACATAGGAGGCAAGGGCAGCAGCTTGCTGGGTGTGGGCAGGCCCTTTTAAAGCCACCCCTCCCCCATCCATCTGCCAGAGCTGCTGTCAAGGTACAGCCTAAAGTCTGGTCTTTATAGGATGGTCAAGACATTTTCGAAAATCAAGGGTTGTATTTGTGGAAGGCCTGGGAAGAGAGCCGTTAAGCGGCCAGGCGATTGGAAGCCATTTCTGTCCCAGGAGCTTGAGGGTATCTTGGCCATTACACACTTAGAGTGATGGGGAAAGTAAAACACAAGAAAAAAAGAGGTGACTTTGTAAGGGTAAGCCAACAAGGGTTGGCGGTAGACTGAGCTGCAGTGGTTTAGAGCAGGGATGTGGCCGGAAGGGGGATCCAAGGCCTTCAGGTGCTCTCTTGATACACTCGAACAACCACGGCTTCCCATTCAAGTGGACTGTAAATATCACCTGCAAGACCGTCAATAAGCCAGGCGCTGGTGGTGCACGCTTTAATCCCAGCACTCGGGAGGCAGAGGCAGGCGGATCTCTGTGAGTTCGTAGGCCAGCCTGGTCTACAGAGCTAGTTCTAGGACAGCCACCAAAACAATACAGAGAAACCCTGTCTCGAAAAACAAACAAACAAATACTTTCCCACTTCCTAGCTTGGTGAAGTCCTGGCTCTCTCTGCTACCCACAAGCCAATCCCTTCCCATTGCATTGTCTGGGTCTAAGATCTGTCTTTTCTGCCAAAGTGCTAGTGAAGAGTATCAGGTCTTGATCTGCTAAGTTATCAGAACAAACCTCCCTTGGAGGAGGCCCATTCCATTAATGAAGCAAGACAGCAGGCGATGCTGGCTGCTTTGAATTCCCTGTAACTTCATAAGTCGTGTTCCTGCTGCTTGAAGCAGGAGCCTGCACACAGCCCTGCCCCGGCTGTGGCTTGCTCAGCTTCCTTCGATAGCACAAAAGGAAGTAGACAGTGACACATTTCTAAGCAGCACTTAGAGGAGAAAGTGTCACAAGCCATCACACCAGGACAGGCATCTGAAGGAAAGGTGCTCGGTGTCTGAGGGGTCTGCTGAGGCCATGAGAAGGTTCTAGGGAAGATGAGAAGAACGGGAGAGACATTTGCAGCCCTCTCCCCACCCTCTTTTCAGGGTTGGAGGGAATAGCCTCTCACCCATTTTTCACTGGTTACCCTCCTTGCAGCCCCAGGACACACCTGTACAGGAGAGGAAGCAGAACAGGAAAGTCAGGCTGGGCCTGCCCAGTAGTCAGTCCTTCAGCCAGGGGAACCACGGCCCAAGCCCTCCTTCTCTGTGAACCACACCTGTAGCCTGCATGCTTCCCAGCCCTGCTGAGGCCTCCCCTGCTCTGCCTCTACCCTGAAACTTGTTTCTAAGCTAGTCTGAAGTTCCTCCATATAGTGCCCCGCCACCCGGGGCCTCCCTGGGGCCTCCCTCACACCTAAGGAAGGAGGCCCCTGCCACCAAGATCCACTCTGCACCAGGTTCCTCACTGGGAATAGATGTTGGGCTGAGCTGCTAGGCAGAGGCCAGGCCTCTGGGTGTCTCCTCAATGTCACTCTCTCCCAAGGATATGGGATGCAACTTAGTTTCTCAACCACCACGTGTGAGAGGCCAGAGTGCATGCTGGGCTCTGGTCTGTCTTAAAGAGTCCCTTGCACTGCCATGGGCTTCACACTCCAGACCTGCTCATAGGTACTGCTGGCAGGAGGTCACCCTCACTCTGTCAGTGAACTCTGGGTGACCCTTGACCTCAGGTTCACCCTGAGCTTCCTGAGCAATTGGGGTCTTGACAGGACAACACAGCTGACACTATTACCCAGTTTGGCCAGCCCTACTTTACCCCTCAGGAGCAGCACTCACCACTGCAGGCCACTGAAGACCCATAGGAGCCTGGCAGACACAATCCTCACACACAAGCCAAGTCTCACCTCTCAGGTCTGCCCACTCTTCCCTATCCCATCTCCTCAAATGTTTTTGTTTGTTTGTTTTTGTTTTTGTTTTTTGACACAGGGTTTCGCTGAAGCTTTGGAGCCTGTCCTGGAACTTGCTCTGTAGACCAAGGCTGGCCTGGAACTCAGAGATCTGCCTGTCTCTACCTCCCTATACTGTCTCTACCTCCCTAGTGAGGGAATTAAAGGCATGCACCACAACCTCCCGGCCTCAAATGATTATTCTTCTTCTTTTTAAAAATTATTTATTTATTTTTGTTGTATGCACACTGGTGTTTTTCCTGTATGTTTGTGTGAGGATGTCAGATCCCCTGGAATTGGAGTTGCAGACAGTTGTGAGCTGGACATTGAACCCAGGTCTTCTAGAAGAGCAGGCAGCACTCTTAACCACTGCACCTACTATGTGCTGGGTTGTGCACATACAGAAATCTACAGCATATGATCAGTCTGCACCAGAAAACAAGCATGTCAAAATGATGATGATAAGCCCAGGAAATAGGGGGTTTTGCGGGGGTCCTTAGCCTGTTGAGGAGTAGGGTAGAAGTGGCTGGGATTGGGGCTTATGCCATGGGATGGCATTGGGTAGGGCTTGAGACAGAGCAGCCGTCTACAAGTGGAAAGAAGGCAGTTTCCTATACCTCTTAGAGGCCTGGCCCACAGTTCTGGCCTCCTTGGCCAAGGCCCTCCCTTTGTGGGGCCCAGGCTCCAGGAAGGGGAGATGAGGGCAACTCAGCAGGTTTAGGAGGAGTGGGGGTGGGAGCTGCCCTACCCTAGCAAAGACAGATCAGCAGCTCACTGTGCTTTACCCTGCGGGCTCTAGGTAGGGAATTTACACTGTCCCGCGTAGGAAGCCAGTCCCAGGGAACCCTCCAAACCTGTGTTTGGAAGGATTTGGGGAGCAGAAATGGAAATGCAGAAAAGGCACTGTCCTCCATGAGGTCCTCAGATGGACAGTGCAGGCCACCTCTGCGAAAGGCTCATTATCCAGCTGGGGACCCCCTGCCCGAGCGGCCTCAGGCCTGGCTTGCATTACAAGGCTACATGAGCTCTTCCCTCCAAGAGAGGCTGCACAGAGCCTTGGAATAATTATGGGGCCTCAGCAGATGGTGGAGGCGGATGGGGGAGGCCTTCAGCTGTGGGACACGTGACCCACCAGCATCTGTGTGGAACAGGACCTGGGAGTGTCCGGGCTGAGCTGACGGTGGTAGGGGGTTGGCACTGAATCAAGATCAGGAATTACAGCCTTGGGAGGGGTGGGGCACAATCCAGGGAGGCCTTGTGCTGTTACCAGAGCCCCTGGACACTGGAAGGATCAGTGTGTGTCCTGAAGCACAGAGGCACACCCCAGGCACACAGGGCTGGGTGACTTTGAGAACTTGCATGTCCTGGAGGGGTTTAGCTTGGGTCCTGCCCCTCTGTGGTCCTTGAGCTGAGCAATGTACATGGAATGTCGATCGGTCTTTGCATTCACATCACACAAGGGAAGACCACCTCTGGTTCCCCATCTGAGGCCCCTTAGCTCCTGCCTCTCTGATCCATGTCCTGATTCCTCCAGATTTGCACTGATAGACTTGGCTTCAAAAAGTCCCATGAAGCCCTCAGCCAAGACAAACACAGGCGGGCAGGCCTGAAGGTGTCTGCTCCTGACTCTTCTCTGCCTGAGGAAATCCAGTTCCAGCTTTCCCACGCCTCGGGGGTCAGGAGGGACACTGCATGAGGAGCCTGGCCTCCCTCCCATTTAGGACCCCCCATCCTTTTTAAAACTCCCCTGGACCATCATGGCCTATGGTCCCCACTTCTGCCTTGTTCCTACTTCTTGTTTATTGAGATGGCCTCGGGCGAGGGAGTTCCCCGACACTCCATGCTGTCCAGCAAAGGGGCTCATGTTCTCTAAAGCCATCTGCATCCCTGAAATGCATCTCATCACCCGTGCACCCTGCTGTGTGCACCTGCACGGGTACAGGCGTAGAGGGGGCTGAGCCAGGATGAGAAACGGTTCTTGCCCCCACTGACTTCTGTTGCAAGATTCTGGATTAACAATAGTCCCTGCATGTTGAGGATGGGGACAAAAGCATTCGGTGTGGAAGACCAGGAACTGTGCCTCAGTTTACCTCAGCATAACCATTCTCACCCTCACTCCCAAACCCCAGCAGCAGCCACTCTTTCAAAGAACAGTTCTTCCTCTCCAACCTCACACAAACCTTGTCCTCTGACCCACCTCAGAATCCACATCAGAAAGGAAGCTCTCCTAGTCCCCGAGGACCAGGAAAGCAATGTTCTGACTGCAGTTTTCCCATATAGCTTGTCAATAATAAAACCAAGCCAAACAGAAGGTCAGCTTACAAAGTTACGTGTTCGGTGGAGTTGGGTTGCAGGGTGACCCTCAAAAGGTCCCTTGCGGCCCCAGAACCTGGGAGTGTAACCATATTTGGGGAAAAGGTCTTTGTTGATGGTAAGGACCCTGAAATGAGACCATTCTGGACTGCCTGGG